CTGTCCCCAGGGGAAGGAGGCTGTGCCCACTGGCTTAGCCCTTAACTGACAGCTGGACTAGGTTGAGGGCAGGTCAGGGAGGAGTCTGGGAAACAGCAAAGACAGAGGATGGATTTGGGGCTGGACTTGTGGAGAGGACAGGGTTGGTATCATCAGAGATCGGGGCTGACAAATGAAATAGGGGTCTCCCAGGCCAGGCTGAGCATCCTTCTCCCATATAGGACTTCACATTTGCTCTGACTTGGGCCTAGGACTGCAGACACAGCAAGTGTCTTGACTGTGTCATGCCCCACCTATATTCTGGTCATTAATCAGGGATGTGCTCAATGCTGGCCACAGCTAGAGGTCTCTGAGTAGAGCAATGATTTTAATGCAGAACAGACTTGAAGGCAATAGTCATCTTGGAAGCATAAAAGGAGAAGTCTGCCTAGAACCCAGGCATAAGGGCTGGTCTTGGATTTCTCCTAGATTTAATGAAGAATGTGTCATCTTATGCTGGCCTACAAGGTAGGCCTAGAGTGGCTGTCCAAAGAGTTAGGCATTCAGGGATGGAGAGGTGCCGTCTGCACACTGCAGACTTGAAGGACCCAGTCCAAAGCCTCAGGCCTGGGGATCGCTGTGGTGTCCCGTGTATGCCCATATCAGGAGTCCAAAGGATCTGCAAGGCCTGCTTTTCATTTTCCACCTACTCAAGGTGCTGTCTGGCTGCCCCATGCACACAATGGCAGGGATGAGAGAAGAAAATCCCTCTTTTGGCACCGTGCTGCCAACCCATTTCCCACAAAGCTACTCTACTCCTGAGTCATGGCCTGATTGTCATCTGAACCCCTGGGCAGGATCAGGGCTGTAGGTGTCACCCAGGAAGGATGCTTGCTGCTGAGGAGATGTGGTGCTTTCCCCCCTCTCATGGTCAGTACGTAGGATGGGAAGGCTATGGCTCACACCAAGATGTCTCCCTCAAGCCTCATGTACTCATGGTGGGGCTTTGGGAAGTGGCTGGATCGTGGCTATGTGATGCAGGGACTAAGAGTGTGGTAACTGGATGAGTTCCCTGACAGGGTTAACACGATGGGTAGTGTGGCTAAGGGGAAGCCACATCCCAGGTGTGGGGGGTACCACCTCATAGGCTTGAAGCCTGGATGACATAAAAGGGAAAGGAAAGCTCAGCACTTGCTGTCCTCCACCTGCCCTCCACACACTGTTTCTCTGCTGCAGTGCCCCTCTGCCACAACACCCTGCCTTGGAGGCAGATGAACGTGGATTCAAACCTCTACAACAGAGCTCGAGTAAAACTTTCCCCTAACTTGCATGTGGTGTTTTGTTCCAACAACGGGGAAGGTAACTAAGGGAATGATAGTAGCTGTGTGACCTTGCATAAAAATGTCCCTGGTTGCCAGCCACACAAGCATGCTGCTGGCCTGGAGACCTCCGATGTCCACTGCAGTACCCTCAGGAGGAGGTGCAGCAAGCCCTTTCCTTGTGGACACAATGACACACCAGCTTGGGGGAGCCTCTCATTCCTCTCCTGTGTGTGCCCAGTGAGAGGGTTCTGCCTAACAGGAACTGTTTCTGCTTCTATTGTCTGCAGTTGCAATCTGGACCGCTGTTGCCTCTGAGAGCCCTAAGAGAGGTGCTAGAGACCAGGAAGAGAGACTCAGGACTGAAATGTGTGTGTGTGTGTGTGTGTGTGTGTGTGTGTGTGTGTGTGTACGTGGTCATCTCTCCTGGGGCCACAGGAAGGCTTGGAAACCCCGTGTTAGATTTTCCTCAATAGAAGCCAGGAAAATGGCAGGATGGGATATAGTCTGCCTCCCAAGCTGCCCCACTCCTCTTCCAGGCTCTTTGTGGTTTGTTGTCCTAGCAAAATATCCAA